TGTGAGAAAGGTGCTTAGGCCAAATGTTCCTGACTCGTAAAAGTCAGAGGTGTTGTGGATTATTACTAATGATATTTATAACTTTTAAGTAGTCAGCATGGACACATGAACACAGTTTTCATCTTTTATTTGAGACACTTAGCAAAAATGCCGAAATATCAAACATTTCCTCAGTAGCTACAATATTGCCACTATGTACAAAATATTTGATAAATGTCGTACACATATAAAAATACAGTATGCATTACATATATACAGTACAATGTGCAAAACGTATGGCATTCAAACATATGGAATTGATTTTAGGGGTGCAAACAGCAAATACAAAGGCATCATGGTTTCTTATAGAAAGGCAATACATAAACTGACGCCCTGATTGCCATAATTTGCATTTAGTAAAGTAGTGCTTAAAGCAAGAGGGCCCTAGGGACAGGCGTCTATCTTCTTCTTTCCACAAAATGAGATGCTAAGACATAATTATGACTGTGAAAACAAGAAGAGAAGCGCCTACTAGGGTTAGCGTCATTTCTACTGCAAGCAGTACTGTGAAGAAAAATCCTATCTGGAAAAAAGCCTGTGCTATTACTTAATACAAATTTTTCAAACAACAAAAACAAATCTGTACTGTTAAACATCAAAAACAACTTTGAAAATATCTACATCCTTAAATTTAAAAAAGTATGGGTAATACTTTGGGGGATTTAACTTCCTATGCCTCAAAATACAAAGTGCCTCCTTTGGCAATATAAATGGCAATGCTTTGGTTCCTATTTAAACTTTTATATTATTATAATTTATTTTAGGCTGTCTTTTGAATATCTGAGCTGTATCTTTTTATAAAAATAGTGTGATTATATAGTTATTCACCATTCCCTGCTTTTAACTGAGAATTTGCTCTCATAGCTAGAATGGCCTTTTTTGGCTAGATTTCTACAAATACATTTATGCACTTTTAACTTAAAAAGTCTCTTTATATTCAGTACTGGACACTACAGAATGATGTAGGTGTCTCTTTTTTGCACTTTATAATATTTATTCCTAGCAAACTGGTATAAAAGGAGTATTTGAGATTACTTCAGATTTTAATGGATGCTCTTTATTGGCCATGTACACACTATATGCAACTCCATTTCTTGTAGCTCACATACAAACCCACCCGTAGTATGGTCTAGACGTCATCGTAAGGCCATTTCATAGACCACAATATAGAGTTTCAACACAACATTTACTAGAGAGAAGTGGAAGAAATTATTTTTCCAGTTTTAATAGACTTTGCTTGAAGTTTATAATACACTGAAGATGCCATCTAAATAGGAACTGTTTACAGCGGTGAGCTTGACTGTGTTTTGATTACATCATGCCCTTCCAGTTAAATGTATTCTGCGATTGCATCTTCTCTGCCTGGAAAACAGTTTGGCAGCTTGTGCTTGGTTTCCAATGATGGTGCCTACACCTCTCAGGCATCTGAGTGTTTGATATTACGGAACATGAATGTTTAATATTGAAACTTCTATTCTGATCACCTGCTTCCTCGAACACAACTCCAGTTGGTGAATTTAGAAGTACCTTGGAAAGAAATTTCTGTATTACATAGTGATTATTTCTAAAAGCTGTGGCCTCAGATTTTTAAAGGTCTGATTGTGCAATCCCACATTGCCAGATTAGGCTCTCAATTTCTGCAGAGAACAACTGCCATAGATTCAGAGAGAACTGAAAAAGTTCTTAAAAGTATTTCTTAACTATTTATAATGTTAGACAAAATTTTGCCTGTAAACTTACTTGCCCTAACTAAAGCTGAATGGCACTAAAAGCACGTAACAAATACCATTTCTGTATGAAACGCAAGATGTGACTCCTCTTGATTAACATTAGCCTTGTAAAACATGTCTGAGCTATCTCTTGGTGTTTACAAATGTAAACACCAGCTTTTGATTTTCACACTGATAAAATGGTATTCTTAATTACTTTGAAGGATCTACTAACAACACATTTGATAGGACGTGTTCTGTTAGCATACGGCAGCTATGAAATGGCAAATTTAGTGCCAGTGCGTTCCTTTGCAGCTGTTCTCTTAATGAGAAATATTCAGTTCTGTACAGTCAAACTGCACAGTCATGATTAAGTTTAAGATGTATTGTATTTGTGTTACAAAAATTGTCATGTAAATCATGCACACACAAAAGTCTAAGCAAAACCTATTTCTGCCATAACAGGCATATATAACTATGGCAAATATATCACATTTCAGAACAAAGTCTAAAGCAAACCATTATATATAAGGTTTAATACACAATTCTGAAATGTACAAAAAAGTAATCACACAGTCCCTACACTAGAATATTTGTACTTCAAAAACTAAAATGATCCCTTAATTTTTTAAATAATTTTTTTTTCCCCAAACAGACTTTAGAGTAGAAAGCTATACTGTACTGACAACAACACGTCTCAACTGTTTGGGTTGATTTCTGCACATAGATTCCTATGGATTAGTTAACATTCTACACTGCCAATAAGGATAGTTTTGTAGCAAGATGACATTGCCCGTTTTAAGCTCTATTTACACGCACATCAAAAATGACAGTACAGTTGCTCTAGGTTAATTTGTCCTCTAAAAATTAATTTACTTGCCTTTTATTTAATCAAAAGGCAGGGTCAAAAAGGGGTAACTCTTACCACACACATGTGGTATGATGTCTGGTGTGTCACACAGAATAAATTGACAGTACTGCAGAACACTAAATTTCATTCAAAATTGTTCCTATCAGACCAAAAGTCCTTAATTCTTATTCTCCGAACAGCTGAGGGCACTTAGTATCTCAGAGTATTAGCTCCCAAGATAGTATGATGAAAAGGAATGCAAAAAGTTGAATGTATTTGTTCAGTGTTATTGAAGAGTCCTATACCATCAACATTTAAGGCAGACAGTTGACGTGTAACACTGTACTCAAATACTGTAGGCACAGCAAGAAGGAATAAGGAAATACGTCTTTCATCTCCATCTTTTGTTGTGAAAAGCTCCAGAGATTGTTTGTCTGTACTTAGTTTCAGACTGAAGTAAATCCTGGCCTGTAAAACTGCTGAATATATAATGACTTAAAGTGCTAGTAATTGATATGATGCAAACATCTGATAAACCCTGAATCAATGATACAATCCACTGTTTTATCTGAAGCTAATGGAATTCTGTAATATTAAGTAAATCAGACTGCACTGTATATCTGGAGACATTCATTTACAGTTAATTCCACAACATTTTCTAACAAAAGTATTTAGTTTGATGTTACCGTGATTGTGTTGGAATTCTTTTTTTTTTTTAATGTGATACAGGTTGTTAAATAGTTAAACAGGTACTTTCTGTTTTCACTATTTTGTTGATACATATCATTACAAAGTAAGCAAAAGCTTCAAGGCATTTTTTCATTAGTTCCTACAAAACTTGATTTTTGAAGGTTGGTGGAGGAAGGAATTCAGCAATGAGATCAGTTTTCAGACTAGAAAACATACATTTCCATTGTTCAGGGAATAGGGGACTACTTCCTTTCTCCTTCATTCAGGAATTCCCTAATAGGAAATAATTCCAATTTTATGTTTGATGACTAGCCTGCGTCATCTATGGCAACATTTAACAGCTATTACCTGAGAGACAACCACAGAATTTCAAAGTATTTTACAGCTTTTTGCGTTTTTTGTTTGTTTTTACCACTGCTTTCATAATAGACTCTGGAAAAAAACAACTAAGGGCTTTAAAAATATTTTCATGTGCTATGAGGTAAGAGCTTAATTTTTGCTATTGTCTGTTTTAGGTATGAAATATGCCTTCTTATCACAAGACAGTACATCTTGATACTGCTAGTTAGGATTCTGTTCAGCTTCCCTGATGTTATGTAGTGAGAGACAAAACTGTTCAACAGTTTTGTTCAACAGATAAAGTATTCATTAAAAAACGGTGGTTGTCCTGTCAATCCTGTCCCCTGTTACTTGGTCTGATCCTACAAACATCTTCTATTGAGGCCCTTGGGACTGTCTTTGCATAGATGCTTGCAGGATTGTAGTGCACAACAGCATTAATTGAACTTTTTTACTTCCTCAAGCTGTTCTAATATGGAGAGATACTGGATTCAATGACCTAACAAATATCCTCAAGCACAAAGTAAATAAGGATATTTATTATTTCCATTATAGCAATCTCTCATTTGAAGATTGCTGTTCCCCTCTGTTCACAAAAGTAAGCTATACAAAGTTAAAGAGTGTACAAATGACTGTCTGATATACACATTAAAACCAAGCGATTAAATCCAGAGCATCGCTATAGAAAATTCAGTGTTCTCAATATTACCTGGCACAGCTACAGTGGATTTCTTGCAGTTACACTTAATATCCCTTTGGATGCAGTTAAATTCTTCCCTCATGATTAAAGAATGGAGGAAGAGTTTTAAAAACCACAAAACCGAAATATAAAAACAACTTGAACAAATTAAGAGACTAGATATATGAAATTTCACTGAACCAGCCAGTGCTTCTACTTGCCTTTGCCCTCACAATTCATTTTGAACCTGGCTCAGGCTATCCACAGGAACAATGAAGTGCAGTGATACCTCCACCTCCCCCAAACATTTGCTCGCTGTGTCAATACAGACAGTTGAAATCTCACTTTTTCTTCTCTAAGTTTAGCCATGTTGTGTTGCTCATTTAAGCATTACAAAGTCAGAGACGTAACTTCTTTCTTAAATATCTGTGATGCATTTACCTCGGGGTATCAGTAAGTACAATCATCCTTTCTTGACTTGTGAAATACAGCTTTCAGAGGGCCCTGATCTGCATTACTGATAGGAGCATAAAGTAATTCACTGTTGTAAACTTGAAAATCAATAAGGAATTAGCTTCAAGCATTTGTTCTTCCAAACGTTACTGTCCTAATTTATCTTAACGGCAATCAGAATGGTGTAATAATGGACCTCTGCTGTATGGAGACTTGCAGGCCGTGTTCTCATTGGCTATAGCTTAATCCCAGTGCAGCTGTAGATCTTGCGGATCTAGAAAGTCAGTGGAAAACACGCTGGGGGCAGTAGAACTGAGAGGAGTGAGTCCAGATGAGGAGCTGGGCATTGTGATGTCTAGCCATTCCATATTGTCCAAATTGGTATCGGGAAGGTCAAGAGACAGACACGAATTATTACTGGTAAACTGCGGGTCAGATGTTTCCATGGGTGAATGAGAGTGATCCAAAATGCTGGAGTGATTAAGCAGATCATTCTGGAGGTCTTCAATTAAAGAAAATGACTCTCTGTCCTCATTACTGCTTGTCAGCTGAGGAATTTCATTACCTGACGGTAATGTTCCATCCAAGAGGGCTTCAAGTTGGTTTTCCAAACTTATAGACAAGCTGGTGGTTGGTTCCAAGGACACGGGAGGAGGGGCCATTTGGATCTGTGGCGGTGGGCGGGATATCACTGTATTCACTGGCATCGTAGTGATGTTGGCTGTCACTGGTCTCATTTTAGAAATGGGAGATGGTTCCTCCTTTATTGGAAGGGAAATCTCTGTAATAAAAAGCAAAAGCCTCACTACTGAATTCAAAAACGATGATGACATATATCCTCAGGCTTATGGCTTCCTTTTTTGCCCCCTTTGGGATGCATCCAGTGAACTCAATGGAGTAAGTAATTTTGCTGTTCTGATAATACAAACCTAAATACATCAGACTGTCAGGTACTGTATGAAAAACAGAGTATTTTAAAACCAGTTCCAGAGTTCTGCTTTCAGTAATACTTCAGCCAATTAGAATATCTATATTGATGAAAAAGGAACAATTTTCTAGATGTTAGCATTACCTCCTTCATGTTCAGTTCTTCTGGCTAATCAGAGTAATTACAGAACCATTCAGAGAAGAGTAGCTGAACCACCCAGCAGTTCCATCCATGTTTAGCTGTGTGTCCCCTCTGATGCTTTAGAGTCTAAGTGATTGATTGATGTGATGAGGATGAGCATTTGTTCCTGATTCTAGTATCTAAAACTACTATCAATAAGTTCCATGTAAGGCAGGGGCAGTAATAAAAAGAAATAAAGCAAATCTTCTAGCACAGGTGATATTTCTGCCAGCAAAAATACACCTCAACGTATTTTGCAGTAGTTTTCCACTCAAAACCCACATTCTTAAAACCTGTAAGAGCATCCGTTAAAATGACTGCTGAGTAGAAGCAAAGCATTACTAAACAGACCCTCTCACTCTCCTGAGCTACGTGAATAAACCAAACGTTCTTCGGTGCAGACCTCGCTTACTTAGGTGCCCTGAATGCTTTACTTCGTTTTGCACAAAGACCATCAGGAAGCACTTGCTTTTTTATGGCAACTTTGCAAATACGGGAGCAGTTGTTACCTTTAGTAACTTCTCACTTGAAGCGAATATTTAAGGAAGCACACTGATGTTTCCTACATCCTCTGTTCCAGAGGCAGAACTTCAAACTACTCATGCAATATTTTAATAAAAGCACTGAAAGCATTTTTTAATTTAGCTTGAGTTGTTCACTGCACGGGTCACTTAGCTCTGTCTTCTTCAGCTGACTTTGCAATTTGCTTTGAAAAAGAGAAAATACTTGGATGTCTAGAATATGGCTAAAATCTAACAGCCTACAATCAGTCACTTCTGTCCTGGCATTCATGGCTGTCAAGATCCTTATATGATAGTAGTACAAAACATTAAGTTAATTGAGTTGCTTGGCACCAGAACATTTCCCAGTATTGTAATGGCTTCTTAGTCTAAAAAGCCTAATTATGCCTGAAAGCCTCCTTTTACAGCAAAGCTACTTTGTATATTACTTTAGTTATTTCAGTTCCTTTCTGATAGCTCCCTTACTTTACCTGTCATAGATAGTGGTTACTCATTAATGTCTCTGTGTAGTTCCTACATTATTGGAAAACATATCTTTGATTTTCAGGGTTGATAATATTTAATGAAACTTTAGTATCAACATGCTTTAACTCTTACCATGTTCTTTGTGCAATTTCAATATACATGGACTTGCTCAACTTTTCCAATGTTGATAAAATACATCTGTGCTAACCTAAGGTGTAATTTTCATTGTTTGAATGCTGTGTGGATTACTGCAAAGGTCTGCTGGGCTAACTTACAGAGAAGTTCCACAGCAGGCTGACTGTGTTTTGGTAAGTGTTTTCTTTAATGGATAATTATTGCAAACTTTCAGAAATACTAGTTTCAGCCAGGCTGAATAGCTTCTGCGTCCTCTCCCTGGAAGAATTCTTTCCTTTGTTCCTTTGATTATAGCACTGAGTTTTTATTACCGGGTTTTAAATCTCCACATCACAGAAAGGTCAATAAGCTTACCTCCGCTCTTGATGAGAATATCAAAAAGATCATCCATCTGCTGACTGTGCGCACTGGAAATCTGTAATGCATGAGAAAAGGGTTACTCTCTTTCATATAGTACTTTTTCCTAAGCCGAGTGATCCTAGCTTCTCTCAACAGTACATCACTATTAACCTATGACCAAGACTAAAATTCTTCATATGAAACTGTCAATCGAGAAAACAGAGAAATCTGAGAGATGCTTGAAATTCCCGTGGTGAGTTTCAATGCAAAGGAATAGGGAAAAAATCTGAAAAGCAAGACAAAGATTTCATGAAGACATCTACAAGAGAGGTGCAGAAAACTAGGGATAAGGAGAATTACTACCTCCTCAGAGCTATCCTGCGAGTAGCCATCATGTAAGATGCATTTTGGTAGGTATGGCGTGGTGGGGTTTTTTTGGTGTTTCTCCCCCCCCCAATCTACAGATTCAGGTTATTTTCTTTTTTAAAATTGGGCGAGAAGCTTTCATCAGCTGTTCATCTGGTTTATTTAATGTTTTGCCATCTCCTGAATATCTGAACCTTAAGCAAAAGGTAGCAAAACATCCACAAACCCATTCTTTCAAAACGGTCTGGGAAAAGTGGAGACTTCTGTGATGGTCCCAAAACTAAAGGTGTTTTAAAACATTGTTACAGTCAGAAGATGGGAAGTAATCTGTCATCAGGACACCTAGTTCCTGAAAAGAGGGCAGTGGGGAGGCATTAACTGGGACTGATAAGTCGTGTAAGACAACCTGTGTGCCTTCACTCTGAGCATGTCTCACACAAGCCAAGAACGTATGAAATGGCATTAGATACCCACGCCTCTGCCTGAGTGTCTGCCACCACAAACCAGCAACCAGTACTAAATCACCACAAGGTTTTGTCTTTTGGGATAGTTCTGAAATGCATGAGGTTAGGGATGCTCATTAGTTTCATTTGCAACTTTCCTCCAACATGAAGGGTATCATGGTAAACCGTTAAAGCATTCCCTAGGATTATTCGTCAAGCTCATGAAAAAGCAGTTATGAAAATCTTGTCACCATACAAAAAACTAAAATAAGCAATGACTTTGATAATTCTAAAGAAAAAACCCGTTTTTAATAGGACTAACAGGATCAAATAACTACCTCACGGTGCGATGTCTGAATACTGCGGGTCTGTTTTATAGCCTCTTCATAACGAGGAGGATCTTTTGCCTTGGATACTGTGTTGTTGAAGAGGGACTGTTGAACAAGGTAAGGCTGAGCTTGAGATGGAGAGCCAGGCTGTGTGAAATAACAAAACAATATATTTTAGTGAACTCAAGAGGTATCAAGCTCTACAGATTATTCTACTTTGTTGTACCAATCTACACAGATATAAACAACAATAGCATAGGTAATCAGAGGGATAAAATAATAGTTTTTCTCTCTCACACATACATCTATATATGCAATATTAAAATCTACAAAGCATTCTTCCTCGAGTGAACTACAGTACCTACACAGTCAGATGTTATTTAAGAATAATAAAACAAAGCTGAACATTATGGAACATTTTGGGGCTAATCTTACCTTATTAGGAGTAGCAGGTCCATTCTGCACAGAGGGAACCTGATTACCACCAGTGTGAATGTTAGAGTTTGATATTTTATTAATAAAAGACTGTGAAGGTGTTGTAACTGGTGCAGTCTGATACGAAAATACTGTATGTGACGTGGTAGGTGGAAAAACCTGCAAAGGATGAATATATCAGTTTTAGATTGTGCGTTTTCTAAATTAATAACATTGGGTAAATAACATTAATAAAAGTTTAAGACTTTGTGGGGTTTTTTTATTTTTTAATACCTGCTTGCTTAAATTCCTTATGAAGGGAATGTTATTTGTACTGAATTTTCCCATTCCCTACAGTGGAATAATTTGTAAACCTAGAACAATTACTCTTTGAAAGAAACTGTGCTGTGACACACTTTCATTCATCACTGATAATTAAAAACATTTTCCTGCGATTTTCCTGGCACCATGAGGAAAGCATAACATAATTTGTCCAAAACACATTCAGAAGAGGATGGAACAGTTCAATACCGTATGTCTCATTTCCCCACCTAGTGGACGGTGAATAAAATGAACCTGTTTCCGACCTGATACGAACTGGTGTATGTATCCACTTGTCCTGCACTGCCCGTTTGTGCCATATAATTCCAATTCCTTAAGTACAGATATCTCTGAGTAGTGAGGAAGAGGCAAAAGATAGAACTGATGAACTTGGGTATCAACCATAAATTTGTTACTGGTATTTAAATTTTTTATTTCTTCAACTGATAGTCCATACACTCATTGCAAATGATTCCAAGCAGTATCCTACTTCCCATATTTCTAAGTTAACGAGAGAGGAAGAGGAGCTATGAATGTATGAGTGCATAAGACTGTTCTTTTAAATTCAGTATCGCTCCCAGGTACCTTTATGACAAAGGTGTGACAAACCAGGGGTGGAGATAAAGCTAGGGTAAGGTTTGTGGAGTACTGTCTGAATACCACATTAAGTCTGCATAAAGATCTGAGCTACCTGAGAAAGTCTAGATGGATTCAAGGGAAGCTGGTTCTGGAAAACAACTGTTTATGGAGGTGATCACTATAAGGAAGACCAACTTCACTAAAAAGTGTTAAATTGACAAGTAGCATTACTCACTCACAGTTCATTAGCTCAGTCTGCCTGCTCAAATACCCAAGCTTCATGAAATGCAAACAGCAGACAGGTAGGTCTAATGCTGAACGCATGAAGGCTGTCCAGACCGATTGTATCGCATCAGTATTCTACATTCAGCTGTAAAAATCAGTGCAATTACACTGCCTCATTTCCTATGGAAAAGACAGCAGTATGTGTGTGAGAAAACCAGCTCCAGGACAGCCGTATGCAGACTGAAGTCTGCTGGGAACTGCGGTCTCCATGACAACTGAACAGAGGGAGAGACCAGAGGGTACAATTCTTGGTTCTTTCCTGCAATCATTTCAGGGAACTTGCAGACAGCAAAGGAAGCAAACTGCTAGTCTCCGGCACACATGCCTCAGGATGACTGGAAAATTTCTATATGGGACTTGTCAAATTAACAAGGTAAGATTAGTGCCTCACCAAATCCCAGAGAACCTGGATGAAATCTGCTTTTTGGGTATATGTCAGTTTTGACTTCTGTCAGATAGCCCTAATCTCCATGAAATTAAACAGATTGAACAAGCAGTCTGAAGAGAGGTGATGCTCATTCAGCTGCATTCCCCTTAACTGTGCAGGGCACAGTCACCCAGCTTCTAACATCAAGTCTTACCCGGAACAAGAGCCTTAGCAGAAACAGATTAGAGGGCACTGCACAGGTAGAACCCTGAGTCACGTCAGAGCATGGGTCTGACCATACACTTTTGTAACGGAATATACACTTTGAAAGCTGAGGTTTTCCTCAGGGAGAGATGTGTTGTAGGTATGGTGGGGTTCTGACTCACTGGAATTGCCATGCTCACTATCTCAGGCCATAGCTTGCTTTTTAAGGATGAAATCAACAAGGAAAGTAGGGTAACTAAAGGAACTCCTGCAAGAGAATAAATGTTTGCAGCCAGAGGGGAAAGCTTCCTCTTCAGAACTGCCTACGAGAATCTTCTGAGCCGTGGCAGGGAAGAGAAATTGCCTGAAATACCTGGCATACCACCTGTGCCAAGCATGAGGAAGCACATGCTAAGAGTGGTGCCATAAGAGTACCATTAAGGTAAAAAGTCTTCAGCTTTATGTATTTATTTGCAACTGAAAAATAAAAGTCCTGCACGGACTAACATTTTGGGAAGAGAAAGAGTTACAAGCCCATTGTATCACACAGAAAAACATGGGACAGAGATGTTAGGTAACATATTTATATAGGATATAGATGACACGTAAAAGATTCTAAAAGCACTTCCTAGAATTAGATCACACAACTATTTATCTAAATGCTTATTGCTATCCACAAACCTTTCTGACTTGTTGGGTCTGACCAAGTGCGTGCTGCGTGGCGGTGTTTTGTTTTGATTGTGGAGTATGCATCTGAGGTGCTGTCTGGGCTAGGCCAGAGGAAGGAATAGGTGCAGGTATTTGTGATGGGGTCTGTATTCCAGCTTGTGATTGAGCCTAAAGGATGAAGATAAAATATTTGCATTATTTATATCTCACAGTATATTACATCATGTAAAAATCTATTGCACAGATTATGCAGAGTAGCAATAGCATGTATTCTGGGAAAGGCTGGGTAGAGGAGACAAAACTTTCTACTCTGGTATTTGGTGAGTTCCCAGCTAAAAGGTGGTGTTTATTTTGCCGACAGAGTTTAAGAAGGATAAAGACAAACTGAAGATGGTCCAGCAGAGACCAGTGAAAATAATGAGAGACCGTGCGCATAACCAGTACAGACAGACTGCAAGAACTGGGTTTGAGCAACCAGAAAGACAAAACTGATGATGCAAGAAAAGTTGTTTTTAAGAAGATCACAGTAGTTTTTAATGGGCACTGAAAGGCAAGATGACGTTCAGCAAAGACAATTTTAGCTGGTAGTTAGGAAAACTTGCTGCAGTATCAGTGACGTGAAATACCAGAAGAAGCTGCTGAAGGTTGTTACAGAATTCTAGCAGGATTTTAGAACAATTTAGACAAAGATCTGTCTGGCTGGGTAGTTACCAGGAAGAGTTCTTGCACTCTGGGGCCCATCCCCCTGAGTTTTACAGCCCTCCTGAGTGTCGCTAGATGTGATGGCACACATGCTAGCACTAAAGCCTAGGCCCACAACATGCCACAGCAGCCAAGTACGTGCTGGAGCTGAAGGAACACTTTGCTGGCACAACAACCATGTGGGTGGCAGGGGATTTCATCTAGCTATGTCCCAGTAATGCCTCTGGGAAATACATGCTTAATTCTACCTTAGACCAACAGGTTACACTGTTTCAGCTTGTTCAGATTACTCCTGTACCTCTTCATTTATAACCCATCTTGGTTTATGTCGTACTCGCTCACTGTGATACTACCTATAATCAGCCTAGAAATAATAGTTGTGTAACCATGGTTTCTTTCCATAACTCCACTGGAGTTCTGCATTGACATTTTTAAATGTAATGAGCCATCACCACACAAGGATGTTCAATCACACGTTCTGCAAACAGGTGTACCTCACTATAAAGTACTGGGTTTGTAGCTCGCTATTACAATTTGGAGTTAAAAACATGGTGGGACATGCTGATATAAATCAAAACCAACTGTGCATAGAGGCAGTACATGTTAAGGCAATTACTTTTCAGGAAAGGGTATCTGGGAACAACAGTTGCAAAGAAAGCAAGTACTAGAAGTAGTTATGAAGAGATTGGCTCTGAAGTTTTTCTGCTCTTTTCCCTAAAGCAGAAACAGGCTAAACCTGATTTTCAAGTTACTCTTACAAGCAGCTCATTTACCTGTTTGTACTAAATTATGCAAACAGTGCCCTGCAGTGTATGTGATGAAAATTAAAAACACCCTTACCTGCAACTTTATATTTCCAACGGGTAGCTGCACTGCAGTGGTAGAATTGGGTCCCTGGATAGATAGCGGAAGGAGCAGCTGTGCAGTTCCTTGGGTTAATAAAGCTTGAGGTGGGGCAACAACGGCAGTTTGTGGCTGCTTCTGTGGGTTAACATAAAATTGAGAGATGGCGTTCTGAGGTTCAGCTTTGGCCACAGGTATCTCCTGCTTGATAACAACCGCCTTTTTGGCAACTGGATTCTGGCCGCTAGTGTACACCGACTGTCCTAAAGAATGACTGGCTACAGGTACAGATTGACTTGTACTAGAGCAGTCAGTAAGAGCATTTTCATCTTTGACAGCAGCACTGAATTGCTTCTGTTCCAAAGCAGCTGCATTACCAGAAGTCTGAGACTGTTGCTGTTGACCCCGTTTTTCAACCTCAAGTTGCATTTTCAGTACTTCCACAAGTTTTTGCTCTTGTTCCAGTTTCCTTTTGAGCTCTTCAATCTGCTTTTCTTTTTCTTGAAGCTTGCGGTCCTTTTCTGCTACATCAAACTCCATGATTGAGATGCTTCCACTACTGCGATTCTGATTCTCCTCACTCATATTTGCTCTTAGTGGTGAAGTACTTAAGAACTGGGATGGTGACATCATGGTCATCATTTCTGTGAAAGTATCTGCCATACCAGTATCATCTGTGCTTAGACTAGATTGATCTGAAGGAGAGGGAGATATAGGCAAAGGAGAGCTAATGTTTTCAGTATTTACCACTTTGCAGCCAGGTCCAGTAGATGTTTTTTCTGGAGGAAAGCTGGATATCGTATTAGCCACTGTTTTATTTGGTGTTGCAACAGGAAATGCCACAGTCACTTCCCCACTGTTACCTGTGGCTCCGGTAGAAGTGGCTACTGTAACAGAGCTACTAGTGGCAACCCCATTGTTATTAAGATCTTGATAGGGTTTCAGACGCTCAATAAGATCCGTTTTTGTTCCAGACACTGGTAATCCCCTCAATTTCAACTCCATTTTAAGCTCTGCTACCTGAAAAAAACAGAAAGCATGATAGTAAAAAAAAATAAAATATTCAAACCTTTAATATACATTCTTTTTACATCTTAGAAAAATTATTTGCTCGTTGTTACTAGCGAATTATTTGCTATTTATTACACCTCTGGGTTCTGACAGCACGCATGATCTGTGATCCCATTTCCATGACCTGCTACTTTGACTGTGTAAGTGGCCAGAATCTTAGTAGCGTTCATTTGTTGTACAATGAGTAGTGGCAAAGTTTTGCTGATATGTTATGAATATTCAAAATGGCAAAATGAACATGTAGTTCCAATTCTGGGCTAAAAACTTCTGAAGCAAACCTGTCGACGAGGGCAGCAGTGCGGCTACTAGCATGCTGAACCCCGTCGTTACACCATCAAGACAGATAGGTCTGTTTCTGAGACGTTTTACCAGGTCAGTCAGGTGATTCAATAAACCCATCAAACACAAAAGTCTCTCTCTTTAATTAGCAACTGAGGAGTTACAGCTATGCGCCATCTGGGTTTCTTCTACAAGCATAAACAGTATAAACAGTCACAATTAATCTAATTTCTGATAGAAGAATGTTCTCAGTTTTCCAATAATCTTACAGGCAAAGCAAAGTGCAAATGTGTTGAGTGTAAATTAATCCTGTGCTTGAAAGTATCAATTAAAAAAGATCAGTCACAATGAATGGCTTTTGTTTATGATCTACATACACCACATCTAACTGGGCTCTGTGTATGTTAGAACCACCTCTGAAAGAATAACATTAAGCTATTAACAGTAACGTTTCACTACTTTGCCAGCCTAGAATTTTAAATTACAGGTCTTCGTGATTTGGAAATGATGCAAAGTTGCAGCAATCCATTTGCATCACATCTCTAAGAACCACAGCAATTTTATGCTGTCTACCTGACAGTGATTATCAGCTGTTCCCCCCCCATCTGGTATCCTCTACACTTGCCTAACAGTGGATTTCAATTTTTCTATTTTTCAACAATTCATTTCTGAATTCTTAATCATAACTGATTTCGATGATTCAGTGTTAAAACCACCAGCAGCAGGTCTGTGAGCATGGCTTATGTTACTGCTACCACACTGGCAGCAACACCAACAAATTATGCAGAAATTGGTAAGAGAACAGCTTTAACCACTGCAAAGCATGAATTCAGATAATATCTTAAAGAGTTCATTGTTAGTTAAAGTTTGAAAAAGCTTATTTCAAACACTCTTGTTTGAACTGCATTTTGTGGACTTGTTACCGATTAGAAGACTGGCTGTAGCTGTTGACAATACATGACTGTCTCGAGAATCTCACCCTCCAAACCCACTTTTTTTTAATCCCTTCAAGTCTAAAAAATCCCACTGACTCCCATCCCTCAGAAACCCAACCGCTTTGTAAAGGAAGGGAGAAATGAATCAGCTGCCCACTAGATGTCCCTACTCCGACGCTCGGGTTTGGCTGTAATTAGCAACACTCCTGTAATTGCTAATGAAATGACCAGAACCTAAACCCCACAGGCTTCTTCAGCTTTGTTTTCACTGGGTCCCTTCACAGTATTAATTCCTGTTAATGCACTTCTGAAGGAAGAACACTTACGCATTGCCTTCACATTACAGATTAAACAGAGTTTGGACAATTACTTGTAACTTCAAGAAGGTTTTGTGAATTTCAGTGTTCATTTTCAGATGATGTGTTGAAGATCTCTTGGTTTTATTCTTTTTTTACTAGTGTTCCATCTGTGTTGGCTTTATAGCACTGAGCTCTCTGAATATGCTATTATTAGGGCATCTTTTAATTTATACTGCTTAACTAAATCTCTTCATTTATATACTAAAATTGAGCAAATTTCTGTTCTAGTGTTCAGTTCTGCCTGGGCTAAAACTTCACGTGAAGTGCACCTCACAGTTTAGCCAAGGTATCAAATTATGTACCTATACCATCTGTCTGCAAAAGCTTCTTCCTCTTCTAAATCTTTGGGAAAAGAAATGTCCTTTCTAGAACACATGTGTATGAGGAGGATAAATCAAAACAAGTATCAAAGTCTAGAAGAACTGCGTATGAAAACTTTGACAACCTTATTCTAAACAGTTAAGAGAAATCACAGTTTTCATTGGTAAATAATACCCAGACTTATTTTTGACAGTAAGAGTTTGCAAGTTACAAACTAGGGAATGGACATATCCCACATGGGCATCGAAATGGACAAATCCCCCATATTTTTTACCTTCAAGTCATCCAGGCTCGAAGGTAGAGGTCCCGGTTTCCGGCTGGGAACATTACTGCTCTGTCTTGGGGAGCTGGCAGCTGACGCTGGTGTACTGTTGTTCAAAGCATTCAGTGGCGTATTCCCGTTGTTATTCTGTTTGTCAGTCAGTGGCCTTCAAGTGGTAAGAAAAAGGGGACAATACGGTCAATGCTAAACATACTGCGTTTTCAATCAAGCAGCTGTGATTCTGCATCTAGTGTCCTTCAGCTTAATGAGCAAATAAATCCCTTTTTACAAATACATATTTAACCTAAGACCATTAAATATTTTTAGTAAAACAGCACAGAATAGAAAACATAACAGAGTAGTATGTTGATATTTTATTTTCTCTTCAGGTAAGTGTTCTGATTTATGCTTCACGGGTTTTATTGCTGTCATGGTACCCCTGAAGGATACTATCGACTGCAGAACCAGTATATACAAATTAATCATTAACTGGGGTAACCAGTTACTTTTTTTTACACCAACTAAACCCCTCCACAGTATTAAACTCTAGGTATCAACCCCACACTCATATCCAGTGTTCGTACATAACGACTGATGTGGAGGCAGTTTACTCTGAAGACGATGCATTTTTATCAGCTGAGCTCCTAAGAAGATTCTCAAAGAAGGATCTCAAAATAATTGTAGAAAAATGTAAAAATGCCATCATTTCCACTAGGTACCATAAGTCAGCTCTTTTATTTCGTTCAACTGATTTCTGAAGAAATGTTTCTGAAATGTCAGTAAATGGAACATAAGAAGCGTGGGTAAGCAGGCAGAAACGTCTCTAGTCCAAATGTTAGGATACATGGTAATTATAAATGTAACCACAGATGGTATCTTTAACTTTTCTAGCCTCACTTGCTGAGGAACAGTAACTCCGTGAAAGCTCATTTTTAAAAACACTTGAAAATCATTTGAATTTAGCGTTGTGTGACTGTGGCGTGTTACACTATAAGCACTTCTAGGAAAAGATGGGTCTTAGGTGGTGAGAATGGAACTCTGCATCCTGCTATTAGGGTGCTGGCAAACCTTTAAAGATAGATTTTCCTGACTGCTTCTACCTCGCAATCAGAAAGTACACTTCTCACTGTTAAAGGCAACACTGATGAGCAACTCAGATAAGCATTAGAGATGAGGCTAGAAACAGTATACAAATTTTACCTCATTTAAAATTACTTCTTATCTGTAAAAAATAATATGCTGCAAAAATATAGTCTGTGAAACTGATGTAAAAGGACAATAAAAACAAAATAGTACGTGTCTTTACAAAGGCCACCGTCTGGGTGCTTCTCTTCTGCTCTGCCTACCTGTGTCATGCTTGAGCCAAAAGGGGTGTCAAAGCCTTCCTACAAGCGCATAAATGCTTCCGAGTTTCAAACACGCGTTTGGTCGGCAAAAGTGCATCTGAGAGGCAGGAGGTTCTGCTGCCATGTCACGCAAAAACAACTAGGACCACTTAAAGGCTTATCAGCCCCCAGGAGTATTTTAACAAGAGAATCACCTTATTAAACAAGGCAGGTAATACCCACAGTGAGGCACACGGCCGTTTAAGTGTTCCTGCCTTCCAACCAACTCTGAACGTTTGCAGAACACTTGTAACGCACTACGTCTGTAACTGATGTAGCTATCTTTTCTTTAAAGGACACAAACAGCGCTTCACATACTTCAGTGGTGCAGGTAGAATTGTCTGGTAGTTGTAGTGTTGTTGCTGTTGGCTCAGGATCTGCAGCTGCAAAAACAGTTGCTGCTGTTGTAGCAGACGAGCATAGTTGGAGTCCATCTGTGGCTCATTTTTCTCACCTTTCTGATCAGGTGGAATATATTGATGATACTTCAATTTTTTCACCCTTGGCTTAGGTTCTTTACATTTCTTGCTCCGATGCTTATCGTTTGGGTTCTTTGGGTGGCTTTGCTGTTTAAGGATGGAAAAGATTGAAACAGCTGTAACAGACACCTCATTTACAATCAGTTACTCACGGTACAAAGACAAAGCACGCTTGAGCGCATCCACTGCAAAGAATACGATTATCCCTGCAAACCTGCCCAAACGGGTTGCTGACCGTCCCTGACCAATGATGCACTCACTCCAGCTGCCTTACACTGTGCCCAAGGAGGGGCCACTGCATCCCGGCTTGGGAGTGCTTTTTCAACAGATGGCACCAGTAAAGCCAAGGGGTTCCGCTAGGCATGACCTGTCGCTGCCAAGCGGCATTCTTCCTGAACAGCTGCCTTCACATCGCTTGGCACTTGGTACCATTAAAAGCTGGTTTCTTAAACTCCACCCGTAAACACTTGCAGGTCACAAGTGCTTACAGGTCTAAATGAAAAGCATGGACAGACAGTCCTACAAATAGCAGAATTATGAAACTTTCCGCAGTATCCTTGTTAGCAATTTGTTAGCGCTTTGACATTATTGTGAGTGAAAAGCTGAAGGTAGTTACCCAGTCACACAGAGCTGTCAAAGCAGGACTCCTGTGTTCATCCATGCCTTTACTACAGATAGTCTGTTTAGGGGGGATATCTGAATTTGTCATTAAGGCCCTGCATTAAGTAAGCTGGTACCGTGATTTCACTGGATATAGCCAAAATTATACTAGAAATTGATTTTTAGAGGTCACCCTTGTAAATTAACCGAGATTTAACTTCATTAGTCAGGTAGAAGTCTACATACCTATGATGAAAGGCTGCAAGAATTGGGCTTGTTCAGCCTGGAGAAGAGAAAGCTGGAGGAGACCTCATTGCAGCCTTCCAGTACCTGAAGGGGGCCTACAAGGGTGCTGGGGGCGACTTTTTACAAGGGCCTGTAGTGACAGGACAAGGGGTAACGGGTTTAAATGGAAAGTGGGGAGGTTTAGATTGGATATCAGGAAGAAATTCTTCCCGGAGAGGGTGGGGAGGCACCCAGAGGTTGCCCAGAGAAGCTGTGGATGCCCCATCCCTGGAAGTGTCCAAGGCCAGGCTGGATGAGGCTTGGAGCAACCTGGTCTAGTGGAAGGTGTCCCTGCCCATGGCAGGGGGTTGGAACTAGATGAGCTTTAAGGTCCCTTCCAACCCAAACCATTCCGTGATTCTAGGATTCTATGATACATACAGTCATTACACAGCTGAAGACCTTTGGCAAAGTTGCTGAAATATTATAGACATCATCTAACACAACCCTCTCTCTAATTGTGTTTGGAAGAGTTTTCCCTGCTGCTGGCTAGGTCAGTGCAGAAAAGAGAACTGAGTATGTTTTTCTGATAAATACAAGGATACAGCAACTTCTCTCACAGAGTGCGTTCTGCTTATACAATGTACGGACTAAGAAAACAGTTGCAGAAAAGGAGCAATGCTCGGCACCAGTTTGATTATAGGTAGACTGGGAATGTGGTTGCCCTTGTTCCTATTACATTGCTCTCCATATAAAACTAGATCAGAAAAGATTAAATTCACCAATAGAAAGTAGAACCTCAATATTGCAAAAATCTAATGTCCTTATTTCTTAAAAACCTCCATAGCAATGTAGTGCATAATTCTCCTTGGAAACCTTTTGTCAGCTGTACTGTAAGGAGCTCCTGAAATAACGAGCCAGTCCCTACAAGCGTTAATGGGTGATCTTGGCACAGAAAAGCTCCCAGTCAACAGCCCAGCGTGTTCTCCCCAACACTAATGAGAGTTGTTATGGTGCCTATAACTAATGTCACAAGCGCGTTGTTTATTACATACAGCATTGGAAAAGGACATTAAGAACATAATCCCCCTTTCCACTGCTAGAGACACCTACCTTTACCAACGTTGGCCCGGGCTTTACTGCAGATACAGTGTTTGTGGTCAGGGCGGTTGTAGCAGTAGAGCGTGTGATGTGCTGTTCGATTGTAGGGGGAGTTTTGAGAAATTCAGGAACTGGAGAGGTTAAAGGTGGATACTAGTATTAAAAAAATATAAGGAAAAAGAGAAACATTAAAAACATACACCATCTGAATAATTGACAAAATGTGAAAAGGTTAAGTCAATTTGCTATCGTGCCAGATTCACAAAATATTTTTAGGAGGAATGGCCAAAACAGGACTCTTGTGTACATGTCTGCAAGTATTCTATAAAGGCACATTTTGGCTCACTTCAAATATAGCAGATAAGATCCACTGGTTTCTTACCTTGACTTCTTAGTCTGCAATTTTACTACTGCATATAAATGTATCAAAAATCTGTTTTTACTAATACGGGATTTAGTTCAAGTTTCACCAAAGCAGAACAGTAATACCCATTTTTATAGTATAAGAAGTATTTTTCCAACATGAACATTTTTCTTTATTATTATTGTTGTGTTTTGTGCAGGTAAAAAGAATGATAACCAAAAAGGTTTTATAACAACATACAAAAAAAGCTTTCAAGGAAGAGCTTTGTTTTCATAACCTTCATACTGTTGTTTTAATTTGCAGAATTCTTTTCTCCTTTTAACATAAAGGAAAATAAATAAAGAAATATCATCCAAACATTTTCCTTCTTTCTTTCTTTCTTACAAATCACAGAATAGCTAGAAGAACCTTCAGAAGTAACCTCACCTCAGGAACATTTTACGTAAACTGCTCCTAACGTCTGTTTGTCTCTGGTTGGTAGCCCAGAATCAGATTAACTAATTGATTCCAGTTCTCTAAGTCTGTAATTTCAAGATTCTTCCAGAGCTGACAGCTGCCATTACAGTACTTTTTGGCTCCTGGCATAAGGATTAACAAAAAAGCTTCTCTTCAAGGTAGTCAGTCAGAATTATAGGAAAAGGTTATGTCAAGTTAATTTCTTTTCTTGTTTTCTTGTTTAGCGTTTAGCATTGTTTAGCATTACCAAGTTTCATATATGAAGGTTGTTAGAACCAAACAATTACAGATTTTAAGAATATACCTAATTTCTATACTATAAAAGTATAGGAATTGCAACTAAGTACAGAAAAATAGGTCAAACAAAATGTTATGGATTATAACTAAAAGGAGAGATAAGGATTAAACATAATTAAAGGCAGGATGGAATGCAGTTAGCAGTTGCTAGCTGAGAGACCACCATTTGTTTTTACTCTGCTTGCAGCAACAATAACATTTGACCCCAGACACACTACAAACGTACCAGAGCATGCCGCTGAAGTCAGAGAAAACACTGCTTTATTACTATGGAATTGAGGCCGCCTCTGTTCTGTCTGTGAGGTCAGAATCTTGGGTACACAAGGAGAATCTTCCTACCCCAACTAGTACTGTCAGAAAAGCCTCTTGTATGAAGGTCAAACATCAGCACAGGCAAACAAACTCCTTGTTTCAGAGCAGAGCAGTTGTATTTGGAAAAGAGAGCTTCCTACAGTATTTCATGGCAGCCACACCTCTGACTCTGCCAGGAGGTGCGTTTCTCTCGGATCTGGCCGCCAGCACAATTATATTGCTGTGTAAGTACAGTCCAGTAGCCTCAACTTTACTGAGTGTTCCCTTGCTGCTACAAACATCCTGTGTGTAATGTCTGCTACAAGCTTACTGAATTCCATATAGGCTTAGGACTTTTTTATTGTGATTATTTTCCTGGCACCACTACGCCTACCAGAAAACTCCCCCAAGTTTTCCTACATAATAACCAAATTTCACTGAGCTTAACTTTGTCATATCATCTTCTTCTGTTCTGGAATTGTTTTCTGATTTAAAACCTATTTCCTTCTGTACTGAATAACCCTCTGATGGGATATAGACTCTGCACATAAACCGATCTCAGCCCTTGTTTTTCTAGCTACAAAAACGAATCTTTAGTTTTCCTTCTCTGATCATCCTTTCCTGTCTGCGTTACAGTTTTCATTAGTCTTTCCCGGATATCAGTAACTGGAAAAATACAGGATATTCCAGATGGGGTCTCGCTGATGCCTTACAGCAGCATTAACGTTTCTTCTGGCATCATCTCTTGTGACATACTTGCCATCTTGCAGAAGTACACTGCAGCTCGCAGTCACTTCGCTGCTGACTGCTGCACCCCAACTGTCTTCCTCCTCAGTTTTCTCGAGTCAGTCCCCAGGTTTTCATGGGAAGGAGAGGTTGTGCATTTTTCATTTTAAGAACCATTCCATCTGACTGGAATTCCATTTCTCTCCTAAAAGCCAAATCAACTGGTTCTCTGCATAACAGCAATCCAACTCAGTGCTGACTGCCTTCCCGCCTCTGTTAGGTGAGCCAACTTATGTCAAGGTTGTTAACGGTACCGCGAAACCCGAATGGCCGCGATCGACTCCAGCAGAGCACTGGTACCAACTTGCTTTCCACCCAATACTCCCTCCTTTGTCTTATCTCTGCTAATCTCCATCTTCTCCAGTTGTGCTCCTGTTTAATGCCATACAGTATTAAATCCAGACAAATGAGATCAGTTCCATTTCCATTGTTTAAGAAAGCAATTAGATCACCTAGTACAATATTCCTTTTATGAAAGCCCATCCGTTTCCCTTACAGTCCTGTCAGTAAATACCCTGTTTCTTCAGAATACATTCTCAAACCTTGCATTCTACCCCAGCTTCTCCCTGAAGCACTGCACACATGCCTGTCTGGGGGTTGTGTCAGTTTACGGTGGCAGGCTAAAGATATAAATGCCTCTATTTTTATATCCAGCTTTCAAAGTGTTTGCTCTGGAAAGCATCCGCTATCTACCCAGTATCTGTTATTTGCTGGACTTGCATAAGAACTGGCAGGGGACTGTAGAGGGACTTACCCGTTAAGGGTTCTGGTTGCTGTATTCCAGCAGACTGCTCTCCGCTGCTGTCAGGTTTAAAAGGCTTACTGTACTCGTAGCAATAACATTTGAAAAAGCACTCAGTTTGTCTCTGAATCAGTGTTGTGTGCAGTATTAACATAAAGCATGGGAGAAATCTAAAGACCTCACGGTTTTCACTGGTGCTTAAATTTTCTTTTCCTGAGGTCCCATCTAAAAAGCATTTTAATTGTTTGATACTTCAGCTCATTCGTTACCTAATCTTTTACCATTCACCATTCTAATCCTCCTTCAACCCAAGCAAGTAACTTGACTTTAAACATACTATTTAGTGACCCTTTATAAGCCCTGAAAAGAACTCCATAACGACAGCACAACAAGACTCTAAAATGGAAAAGTTAGTCACTTAAAAAAAGACACCAAAAAACCCGCCACCTCTTCAATTCCTAATTCATATTGCTTGAAACCATGGTGTTAAGCATTTTCCTCTTGCCACAGAGTAAATTTACTTTTTGCTTACATTAGTTGATAAGCTAAATCACAAGGGATTAATGGCTACATGAAATACAAAGCCTTTTACAGACTTCCCAGTTTCACGTGTTCGATGAGGCAATGAACCATGAATGCATTTTACTTGATAAATTTTTAAATTAAAAAGCCCCAAAACTAACAGGTCTCAACTTCTTGAGACTTGTGCAAGTAACGTAAAGATACTTCCTTTGAACAGATCTTCTATTTCCAGTTACAGATTTCTGCACCTTTTCTTCTAAGAGCAAACCAGCATCTAGCAGGTCAGCTAGCTACAGCGAATATGTTCAGAAAACAAGTCACTCTATTTTGTCTCAACAAGCAAAAGACTTCAGCTGTTTTGAAGATAACAATGCTTAATGTCTTCAGAATTGTGAAAACCCCAATTTGATCTGCTTAGAGTGGTGTGGTTAAAATGCCTAATCCTTACCAGTTGCAAATATGTCAGGTTAAAGCAAATTTTAGGTCATCAGTCAATGAGAACTGAAGGTTCTCAAAGGTATGTTACATCCGCTGAGGCCTGGAAGTGTGTGGAGGAGGAAGCCTTGAAAAGAACTCTGGCTGCACTCCACTGTTTTCAAAACATCCTTTGTATTCCATGTTGTAATAAAATGTAAAATTTGTCAGAGGAAATTAGAAGAATGAAGGAGCAATTTCCCAGACATCTCCTGTAGAGACACGCTGTGCTCGTACTCTTTCTTTCCAAAGGAACAAGGTAAAGCATCTGTTTTAGTCTGCAGCCCAGCAGCTTCACATTTTAGGTCTGGGTACAGAAGCAGCTGTAGTATGTTGTGAAATCCATCAGCAAAGCATTGAAGTTCCATCCGAAGTGCTTTTTCAATCAAGTTCAAGTGCTCTGTTACTTTGCTGCTGTGATCACATATCTATCTTATGCTTCCTACTTGAAAAGCTTTTGGCATGTATCGCTTTGAGTATTTTTATTCAACTCTCCATTAGGAAACTAACTCTTTACTTAGGAATCGAATTTCATGTGGTTTGTTTTCAACTTTTTCCACACAAATTACATTCTCTCGACATGAGAGTTTAAAATTACTATCTGAGGTGCAACAGAAAACATCCTAAACAACCTATTTAAGCTAAACATAGTAACCTTTGAATCAAAGCATATATCACATTAATAAATAAACGTGGTGATTAACTCAACAGTGAAGGTAAAGAGCCATGAAGCAAGCGCTGTACAAGGTATTCTAGAAAGCATCGAGACAACTGAGCGGTTACGCACACAATCAGTGTTTTCAGTAGCTAAGAGAAGAGAGAAGAGATTCCTCTGGAGCACATGATGTATGTTTCATTACTCTTTGGGCAAATTATTTTACATCAGCACTTCCATAATGTGTTTAAAGACAGGGTAGGCGACGTGACTGTCCACATCGAATCACAAAAATCAAATCATCGTAAGAAGAGTTGTTTCAAAGCTCATTTTTGCAGCTCCCGTGAAAACGGTCAAGTATGCACACCCAAATCCATAAAATCCTCACACATTTAAATGCTCTGCTAGAAAGACAACATTTTATCTGCCGTGAAGCTTAGTTCCTTCCCCTTCTTTGTAAGTAACTCAAGAGAGTATTAAAAACCGCACACAAAAATCAACATAAAGGTTATTTTCGTTTCTTAAATAGTAAATTCCTTAGGCAGTATTTTAAAACCATAGGAAAGAACATTGAAATTATGTGGGAATACTTATTTTTTATGGACTTTTCTAGAGATAATGGAAGTGACGTCAACTTTTGTTGTTTCAGCTACGTTTAGTTCTACATGAGTTCAAGACCTTGCCCAGAATGAAGACAGACATTAAGTAATCAGTAACAGCTGGAGTAAACCATGGCTATGACCTTTTAAACGACTTGTGGGAAAGTTGTACATCTTCAACGGGCCATAATGAATTTCAGTGACTTTAGGGCTTTATTACAGTCTATAGGAATTTCATCGCTGCAGCAGCTAGGCCAGGGTTCTCGTCTATACGCTCCCAAACAGAGAATGGAGCCCAGACACTCCTTTGCGACAGCAAATGTATTCATTCCACATGCAACCGTGCCCCGTTTCCGTAGCCCCGGGCCAAAAAAATCATACTGTGAGGATTTTGTTTCCCTATTTAAGAACTGTACCTGTGCTGATGCAGTAGCACTGGGCGTTACTGGTGATGGCGAGTCACTCGGTTTTGGCTCACCAGGGGAAGCTGCTGAAACTGGGATTCTTGGCTGGCCGGCTGATCTGGTGATAAAGCATCGCTGCTGTCTTCATCAAATGAATAATCATCCAGAGCTTGAGGATAATTCTCTTGTCCAACTGCTAGAATGTTTATAAAGAAACAAGCAAAACAGTTGAGGTTTTTTAGTTGCATAAATTAAATTCAGACACTGGGGGCAGAACTAACCAATTGCTGGAAAATGATCAGTTTTCAGCACAGTCTAAACATACGGTACCTAAGTATTGATTGTGTCTGTACTGTAAGGACAGCCCTGTTAAATCAGCTTCATCAATCAACACAGCAAAGTGCACAGCAAAAGGTGCTTTAATACGAGATTAAGAGAGGTTCAACATACGTGGAGTGCACAGAGACACCTGTGACAGACAAAGTAACGGCCACCTATGTTTGTTTTGTAATAACTGTTACTAAGAAACAAGTCCTTTCCAAGTATTACACTCCAACTATACAATTCTAAGTTAGTGTCAAATAAAAACAGGGTAATTTTAGTTAAAATTATGACAGTGTTTAGGACTCAGAAGCTGAAAGAATAAGTAGTAATAAACTTTGAGTATGTTTTCAGCTGGTGAACTTTACCCTCGAGAGTTAAATTACTAACTCCCACAGCAGAAGCTGTGGGACTTCTACTTGCCTATAATAGCTTCTTTGACGCTGGAGTCTACAGGAAGAATGTTTTTTTCTACCAGTTCCATAGGGCCAGGCCTCTGAGCAATCTTCTCATTCAGATCATCTGCCAGCCGAGCTCTCTTCAGTTTCATCTGAGTGGCTTGCAGCGAAGGCTCTGCAAAGGTCTCTGAAATGATACATGGATTTCATATCCTGTTCCATCTTTTCTCCAGTTTCATGACAAACAACATTAGCTTTTCTTTGCAATAATCACTGCACTCTTAGCAAAAGCAGGCAAGTCTTATTCTGAAAATTCTCAAATCAATAAGCAAAAATCAGATTACATGAGTAGATATTTTTCATGCCCAAGAGCATGTTTTTCTATAAATATAACCTCTTCATTAACAGCAGTGATACTTTTGTTAAACTTTTGTATAGTTTCCAACAATAAGGCAGGGAATATATAACAAATGATAATTAAAATCCAAACACGGCATTTGCTGCTCTGATGGTTTACCAGCATGAGCTATGGTAAAGGTTTAATGAATCCATTGATTTTTTGATTTTCTCTTGACAGACATCTCAAAGTTCACCTTTAAAAACAGCTTCTAGCACAAATGTGAGACTCCAGAATTGTATTTCAATGAAAATATGGCGATAGTCTGCCGATATGGATACGATCTATCAATATGGAGACTCCTATCTGGGTTTACCATCCATATGCATGTTGTGAAAACAAATGGCTATTAAATTGACTTAGACTGTGGTTATTTGGTAATTTCTGTATTTGGTAAGATTATAGTGAATCACAGCTCCATTCATAAAACAACTATTGCTTCAAATGATCGGAGCAACAAGGAAAATGACAAGGCAGGGTCAAAGTCAAGTTTATCACAGACTGTTTGGGCAGTGGTGGTGGGGGAGAAGTACAAGGGACTGTCAGGTTATTTTAGGGTACGAGCAGAAATCAAAGCAATATATACACTACCTGCACATACACCATGGTATAATTACCATCCTAAAATAAAAGCAATGTGCAATTGCAAACAAATACACAGTTGAGAATACTTTCACTGCCACAGATGTATCTGTTATTATAGAGATTACAACAGACACTGCAGACATGGAGAAATAAGAGCACACAAACCTTTAGTAACAATCTGTATCAAAGCCTAGCTCAGCCAGAAACCCGAGTGCAGCGCAGAGGTTCCTTCAACAGCACCCAGGTACGTACCTTCGAGGATGTGCATTCTGACCAGCTCCGACCGGTCCGGCCTGCTGCGAATCTTGTGCTTCAAAAAATTTTCAGTCTTTAAAGAAATGAGGAAATAGTATTAATTACTGTTTACTGAAAAAAATCAAGGTAGCTTGATAAATCACTGACGTCCGATGAAGGAACGTCTGCGGCTGCATTCAGACAGGTGTCCCTGGAGGGGCTCGGTTTGTTCTGCTTTCCCATCAGTTAAGCAGTGCTGATGAATTTGTGTCTTCCCCACACTAGCGGGGAACGTTTCTGCATTTGATCCCGTACCACCACAAAAAATCCCAGTAGTATGGATTTGCTGCCGAAGTACCACACAAACAGTTTACCCAAGTATCCTAACCTTGCCTGGGGCCGGCTGTGTATTGCATCATGACCCCACCCTGATCTGCGCAGGAGTAAGAAAGTCCCCCTCAGATTTGACCCCGATATTTTATTTTAATGCATTCTTCCAAGGTAAAAGCACATGTTATTACTGTAATGGTAACGATCTTTTCACGTACTCTGAGAATTTCATATCACATATAAAAAACTACCCATTTTCAGATGTTAATAACAAGTTTACACAAAGCGGTTTACCCTGGCTCGCTCCAGGCTCTTTATCTGCTCGTGGAATGCAGCTGGGCTTTTCAAAGCTGTGAAGGGAAGGGAAGAGTTAAATCGACAGGAAATGCTCTCCAGAAGAGGTACCGCAGTCAGCACAGTTATATGGTCTTTAACATCACCTCAGAGTTGTGGTTGCACCTGAGCAGGCTTACGTGTGACTGGTGCTAGTCACATTTACTGACACCTAACAGCAACGCTCCCCGACAGAATACTTGGAATATTGGATTTTAGTAGGTACTACCATGTAACAGTTACCTTTTTCACCATGTACACCGGGGTCTGTTTACCAAAACTGTTCCACAGTAGCAATTTTATGAAGTAAGGTTCAGAATGCCAAAACACCATTTCATTTATTCCCCTGTATTTACTGCCTGCCTGCAGCCCCCAACCTGACCGTCCCTTAAGAGCTGTTTGTGCCGATTTTAAAAAACCCAAAAAACTACAGAAACCCCAAATGTTCAGGTTAGAAACAGAATGACAGTAAGCTGCTAAATATCCAAAAAGAGTAAAAACTACCATTCAGGTAGAAATAATATGAACTGTAGAGTGAGTCATCTCAACTGAATTGTTGAAAGGAAGTGACATGGCAGCAGACACGATCATCTTACTGGCCACGTTTTTGGCAAAAGAAAATCTTTTAACACTTCTTGACACTGTAGAAGTTTTTCTTCAGCTTTCACTCAAAAAGAAACTGATCATGCCCATCCAAGATAATCAACACCACAGACCTGGGATAATGAAGATGCTTTAGCAAAGCAACCTAAGCCTGCTGCATACTTCATACCCTCCAAGAGGAGAGTAGCTTTAAGGTACTGGGCTTTCAAGCCAGAACTCACCAGTGCACACTGGGCTGTTCCTAGTAACTTGAGATAGTTTAGCTGTGTTTTCTGTGGCTGGGGTTTTTGTTCGCTTGTTCTGAGAAAAATCACTTTTCACAGTTGAATCTTTTGACAACTCGGACCTATTACCTTGAGTGCAGTCTCACCCCGCACTGTGTGATGTTTGCTGTGCACCCCTCACTCTGAGGGCAGACTGATCTCCAGAACAAGTCAGAAGATGTTATACTGACAGCTGGCACAGGCCTTGCGAGCCCAAGTGGAGGAACACCCAAACATCTCTACGGAAAGAGGCAACTGCAGCTGAATTCTAGCCCACTAAATATCTGCATTCAGGAGGACCCTCTTGGGATTCCTAAACTGAAAGAAAGGCCTAGGCACAGAAGCTTCTGCACCAGGTCATAGATCCAGTGTACAATGCCCAGCTGTGCTGCCTTTGTGTGGTGGGGTTTTGGTGCCGGGGAGAGGCCACAGGGGCCACTGCTAGAAGCTTCCCCTACTCCAAGTCAGACCTGCTTCTGGCCATGGCTGAGCCTCTGGGATTAACCTATTTGAGAGGGGAAAAGAGAGACCTGCAGAAGGAGAGACACAACCAGACAGACCCCCAGGTCAGTGCAGGGGGTGGGAGGAGGTGCCAGAGCAGAGGTTCCCTGCAGCCTGTGGTGAGGGGGCAGGCTGTGCCCTGCAGCCATGGGGGCACGGGGAGCAGAGACCCCCTGCAGCCCAGGGAGGACCCCACGCTGGAGCAGGGGGATGCCCAAAGGAGGTCGTGACCCCGTGGAGAACCTGTGCTGGAGCAGGCTGCTCCTGAAGGACGGCACCCTGGGAGGGACCCATGCTGGAGCCAGAGAAGTTGGTGGAGGAGTCTCCCATGAGAGGGACCCCAGGCTGGAGTGGGGGCAGAGTGTGAGGAAGAAGGAGAGGCACAGTCACCGTGGGATGGACTGACCCCAACCCCCATTGCCTGTCCCCCTGCACTGCTGGAGGGGAGAAGGGAGAGAAATGGGGAGCAAAGCTGAGCCCAGGAAGAGGGGGAGGATGTTTTTTAAGATCTGGTTTTATTTTTCATTATCCTACTCTGACCTGATTGGTAATTAATTACACTGATTTCCCCAAGTCGAGTCTCTTTTGCCCATGACCATTAACTGCTGGGTGATCCCTCCCTGTTCTTGTCTCAACCCACCAGCCTTTCCCTGTATTCTCTCCTCCCTATCCCACTGGGGTGAGCAGTGAGTGAGCAGCGGCGTGGTGCTGAGTTCCCAGCTGGGCCTAAATCACGACACCGGCCTAATCCACGGCCTCCTGTCCTGTCATCCCAGCTACCATCTGAGTCAATGTCTGTGTGTCCTTTGTTTTTGGCAACCCTTGCCATCCTCCTGTGGCTGGCTTTGTTACTGATGTCCACCCATTTACAGAATTCAATTGATTTCACTAAGATTAGCCATAATTTAAAGAGAGAATATTAAAAGGAAATCAGACTATGTCCACAAATCCTTGCATTTTCATCCAGCGACTATTTTAACTGAAGTATTAGGCAAGCATGATGAATTCACTTCATACTCATTTAGATTACCAAAAGGATCCCACAAGGCTTTTCAAATGACAGTTATTTTCAATGATTCTCACAGATGTGCTTATCTTCATTATCTTATATATTTGGCTCATAACTAATACCGTACAGTAACACAAGTGAGCAGAAACAATGTGAGTCTTACGTGGCATGATGCCCTGGTCCACCAGCTGTTCTCGTGTCCGTCTTTGCTGCAGCCTCAGCTGAAGTACTGATAAAAGAAAACAGGCATTCGTTCATATGTAAGCTTACTAGCTCCTGAAAGTTCATCAAAATTCAAAAGATACCAGGCATTTCAACCTCAGAAATATTTTTTCTCTATGTATTCATCTAGATACAGATGAAGATACAGATTTATATAGATTTGTTTCCAATCCCAGGTTACACTGGAATTAGCTGCTTTTTGGTCACATCTGATAAAGGGACTGTATTTCATACACACATCCGCTTCATCCCTGCCAAGGGGTATCAAGTACACATCTAACAGGATGCCCCCCCTGTAGCACAGCTGTTGGGTAACAGATTCACAGGAGACGGTGAGGTGTATGAACTGCACCACACTGATTACAGAGGCTTCTTACACGTCTCAACCCCATCTTACATGAGAAACAAATTACGGTTGCAGAGCATTTTGAAAGAAAAGCTGTATGTGTTTGGCTGAGCATTTATCCTTAAGATTTTTTTTAAATATAAAGGTTTATTGTCCATTTAAATAAATCTTGCTGAAACACCAGAAACCGAAGAAGCCAGACTTCACCTGGCTTACCTGAAAACACCAAAAAAGCAATACAATCAGCTACAGACCTCATCCTCTCTCCAAACATCAGAAAATGCTGTTTTCCTGATTAACTGATACATGTGTTGTCATAATTATTTCAAGGGCCAGTTAACCAAATACTGTCAAATTTGGAACAACTGTTTATGGTTTCAGAGATAATTTATGTTTCTTTACGTTTAATAAAATGCACAAGGTTCTTACCTTATTGTTAACTGTACAAATAACCAGTGTGACACACACCTTAAATACAACACCAGGAACTGCACAAAACCTGGGGGAGGGCATAGACAAAAAGGCCTGGTACTTTGAAAGGTTTTTTGGAAATGTTCTCGGGGAAAAAAAAATCCAAAACCAACAAAGGAAGAAAAAAATAGTAGTTTGTTTCTTTTACTCCCTTCCCCTTGTTTCTGTACCAGTTTATCACAGTTCTTGGTTCCTTCTTAGACACATAGAGTCATTACCTTAACATGAAATTTCACCTTTTGAACAAGAAAAAAATATATTAAGGGTGTAATATTTACATTCTTCAATTCTGCCTTGAAAGCTTATTCTGGATGTGCGATTACGACATGCCGTTCCCATTGTATTTCACAAGGAAGCAAAACAAACTACGGCATTGTCCAAAACATCAAAATGAACGTAATTTCTAAAAAATCAGGCTAAGGACAAAGTTCATTGTTTTCAGAACTGAAAAGGAACCAGTTTATTTCCTATTCTGCAGTACCGGAAGGATACTCTTCTGGCTGAAGCATTAAGAGCGGGAATAGCAAGTCTGAAAACAAGGACGTTATTTTCTTGTGCCACACAAACATTGAGAATTTAAACACAAACTTTTCAGGGCTGGGGCAGGGCAGTTCTGTTCAGACTTTACAATATTGTTACACGAGATTTACTAAAGACAGAGATGGGAGAATGCAAAAGGAACAGTAACATGGAAAAATCATTCAAAAGGTATTGAGTTCCTCTGGAAACCTGACAATACGTGCTTGAAGTGATGAAACCTATTTTCCAAGCAATATTAAATGACTATAAAAAGTTCACTGAAGAATTATTTTCTAATAGTTTGACTGATTTTTGGTCTTCCTTAATTTCACGTGGCTCCAGGTAAGCCATCACCTCCTCCAACACGTCTTACTAGCAGGTGCCAGCTCGCGCTGCCCGAGGTGTTGAACCAACGCCAACGGTGCTGTTACACGCTCCCGTCAGCGGCGCTCCCTAGGCTGGGTCTGGCAGCGCAGGGGACAGCCGCATACTCCCAGCACCTTCAGAGCGTGGGTAGAGGAAGTTCACGTCTTTCTGCAGAAAACTGTGTGGGTTTCCTAGTCCAACTGGTCTAATCCGCCCCCTCCCCAGTGCAGGTAAGTGTGTGCACACAGTTACGCAACTGCACATCCAACCTCAAAACCCCACGTTTTATGCAGGTAAGTGAGAATTAAGAAGAATTATGTAGGGTGTCAGCCTAATCCTACAGAAAATGTAAAGAACTGCACATTTCAATGGAAATGCCTGTGAAGGGTACAATAGAGTTACGATGTTACGCTTCTGGCCCTGGGGCTACTTCTAAGAATTTCCTGCTGTGCTAGCACGTAGCGCAGAGACGTTCACTGACTGGTGTGGTGTTTGCAGGGAAGCAGAAAATTCTCCTATGTTGCTGGTTTGCATTCTCTTGCTACAACCATAAAACCAAGAAAGCTCGGAGTTAGTCTTAAAACTAAAGAGCCACTCCCTTTAAAAGTCTTCAACAAGCTTTACCCATCCAAATGATGCGAGAGATGATTTATGAACAGCATGGCAAGATGACTGTATTCAGACCCAGGATTTCAGGTCTCGAGTAGATTCAAACTTGACTTTCTTCTGTTCTTTGCTCAAACTGTGCTTCCTTTTACACGACTAGGAAGCTGTGGAAAGGGTTGAAAAACATGTCCTGCTCTGGGCAGGAATCTCACCCATGCTATGCAGCTGTATTCGATCCAAGTGTACACCATACTTGAATTTGGCTTCCCTGGAACACTAACACCATACGACTGCGTCTACCAGATCTTTCACCTAGTTACAAGTCAGCTTTAAACACCGGCTCTTTGTCTCAGGCTCCACGTCTTCAAGAAAAACGACCTCCTCCAACATCAGTCATGCCCAGGGCAGCGCCCATATACGTCCTCAGGCACGAGAAGTCAGTCAGAATGAGGTTGATTTTCCAGCTCCATCAACTGGAACACAGTGGATCAGCAAGCGCATGAACGTTACCACTGATGTCAGTCACCTACTGACATCGACAGGCAAGTCACCCATTAAGAAAACATGCACTCGTGCTACACGGCATTGCTGACCTCTAACACGCTTTTGCTCAGACTTTCTCTTTTACGGAACTTTCCCATAAAGCCCATTTTGCAGGTGTAGCTGGTCCAGCCGCAGCTACCTAAGCACTGCTAGGATAGTGCTTTCAAATATTCGTAAACAGAAGTGGGGAAGTCAGCAACTCTCAAAAGGACCCGCCCACTACCGGATGACCACGCTGTTTGGCCGGGTTGGTAACACCAATCTGAGAGCCCTCACTAATTCACCCATTTGGACAGCCAGCTAGCTTGGAAAATTCCTTTGTGGGAAGGGCATATACCATCTACTCCATGAAAACTGCTACAGACAACAGATACTTATTCTTTCTCTTATCAGACACCACTTACTTCAATTCCAAAGTAGCATCACTGCAATCTCAAATGTGATGTGCCAAGCCTTTGTGCAGGCAAAAATACTTGACAGTTAACTGTTAAAATTACATATAAAGGGGCAGAGTTTAACCAGAAAATAGTGTCCCAGATCCAGGTATTGACAAGCTAAATTAAATCTGTCCAGCAAAGACCAGTAGTAGGAATGTAGGGGAGCTCATCTCTCACTTTCCCACTGGTTTCAACTAATTCCTGAAGCAGTGTTAACTCCAGATCCAGACAACGGGACACCCTGCTACACAACTTACGAATGTGTTATAATTATGATTTATCAGTTCAATAATGATCGGATATTTGGCTTAAGCTTTGCAGAAAGAGTAAAAACTGACCCATGACAGTCTTACAACAGAACATGGGGTGGGCTGTAGCAGAAGGATGAGAAGAGCTGTGAGAATGGACCTGCACCCAAACCATATGCGCTCGGGGATGCAGCTCTGGTGTTTTTTAGCAAATACCTGTAAGAGACAGTCACTGTCTCTCGTAACACTACCTGCCCACCCACCATCCCTACCCCAGGCATAGTAAAGCCAGTAAGGGATGATCCTGAAGTTGTCCCATGCCTATCTGGACAAGTCATAAAAGCTGTGGGAGGACTAAAAACCGAGCAGTGTAGAAGACACAGAACACGCAGCTATCCACTTACTAAATAAACATCAGTAACTTACACGTATTACACAGTAAAGGAAGGACAGGCTGTGCATGACTAATAGAGAAGCACTGCAGGGAGAATAGGGAAGAAGAGATGACTCACAGAAAGATGGTGTAAGAGGGTAATCACTGAAGATTTTGACTTGACCAGAGCAAGGAGGTTAAACAGAAACAAAGTTGGGTGAAAACCAGATGTTCGCTTTTGCAGACAGTCCCAAAATTAAAGTTAAAAATGTTTGATGACTGGTTATTTTTTGTTTAATAGATATTGAGCAGTTGAACGTGTTATTAAAGAAAAGAAAGTTTCTAAATAGAAAGTAATTGTGATTAAAACACCTAACTATTTTAAAAGTTGGAAGGCTGCAAACCCCTTGCAAACATACCAGGAAAAAACTAATATTTATGTCTCAACAAAAGACGAAAGGCCCTAAAATACTTTTACCTCCCGCAACAGCAAGAAGCAACAGGCAGAGACGTTTCTAAGGAGCAATGGTAACAGCTGTGTGAGCTGTGTAGCTACATCTACTCCAAGAGGGTATTTGAGGTCCAGGTCTGCATGCAGAGCAGACGGGCATGCAGCAGTCAGTCCTGACCTTCGTGCTGTCACTGTACTGAGCCCTACACCTGAGCAGAAACGAGCTACAGACAGACCTGTGTCTTTACACGGGAGACGAAGCCAAAATGGGTATAAAGGAAGGGAATAGGGAGGAGGTTTGTGAAAAGCTCAGAAGCAAACAGGGACCTACACAAGCAGCTGAAAGAACAGCCAGACAGATGTGGAAGACAGGAGTCATGGAAACTAAACCACAGGTTTACAGTAAGGAAAATGTGATGAAATTGTCTTCAAAGACAAGAATGAATGGTGTGAGAAGCTTTGCACTTCTGGCACAGAACTGCCCTGTTTCAGTGAGAGACTCTCTACGGAACAGTATGCAGGTTGGTCTAAGTCTTCTGTAGTTACATCTAATACAGACTTTGCCTATCTTATATACAGCAAGAACAGTTAGTAACACATGCAGAGGTAAATCTAGTAAGGATGGATGAGATAAGAGGA